CCCACAGTCACATCAGTCTCTATACAGAGGAGCTTACACTCTAATGTCCCCCCCACAGTCACATTACCTGCTGGACGCAGAGCTTCGTGACCCTCTGGACACTAGACATGTGCACCGGCAAACAAATGTTGAGTTTCATCTTGTTTTGATTCGGATTTTGTGTTATTTCGTTTTTCGGGATTTGGACAAATTTCGCTAGCGGTAGTCTGCACGAATGTTCATATCGTTCGTTTCATTGCAGCAAAGTGACATAAAATTGTTTTTTTTTTTTAATTGTCACTTTGCTGCAATGAAAATTTGTCCACAAACAGACTACCGCTAACGAATTTCGTCCGGAAAACTAATATTTCCAAAACGAATCGGACATGTCTACTGGACACAGGGCTTAGGGTTAGTTCACACCATAAGCAGTGCGCTCTGGTCCGATTCTGGCCAGAATGCACTGCCCGCATTGCGGCTGGCTCACTTTTTTGCCGGGCTGGAGGGGGCGCGGCGGGCCATTAAAGTGAATGGCACCGTAGCCACGCTCTCCGGCTGCAATGCGATCGCCCCCACGGGATCACAAGGCACATTGTAGCTGCAGTGCTTTCGGGCGCGGTGCGATAAAAATGCTGCAAGCACTATTTTGATCGCACCGCACCCGAACGCACTGCAGGCACAAAGGGCCTTGCGATCCCCTGCGGGCATCCCCTGATGCCATTCAATTGAGACTGTCTATGGTGGGCTCTGAAGGGGTCTCAGGTGGGCTGGTCAGGGCTGCATCCCCCTCCCTCCCAGCTCCTCTTACCTGCACACCATGTCTCCTCCAAACCCCCCCTCCCCCCCCCGGACTAACATGACGTCACCTCCGCCAGTCAGCCTTCAGACTTGTCTCGAAGCCGCTGGAGCGTCAATGCTGGGGCCCTGCGCTGCTGGGGCCCTGCGCTGCTGGGGCCCTGCGCTGCTAGGGCCAGGCCTCCGCTGCTGCGGGGGCCTGGCCGCCTCCTCGCCAGGGATAGGCACGGGCCAAGGCTGTGGCGGACATTTTCCCAAGTACAGCCCTTAGTGAAGGACAATCATTATACAGTGCATGTTTTGTATTCCTCTATAGCTGGTGGTATTCTGCCTTGCACTGTAAAATCATTATACAGCGCAATAATTTACAACCAGCTATAGAGAAATACAAAACATACTGGCGATACATTATACATACACTGTATAATGATTGCTGGGATTTGTATTCCTCTATAGCTGATTGATCATATACAGCGCAATATACCATCAGCTAAAGAGGAATACAACCAATAACTATCCAAGCAAAACAGTATTACAGCATGTGGGGGAAAAGTGCACGCAGTCTTACCTGCAAGCAACGTTACTTTCTTCCCCGAGATCTTCGTTCACCCACGCTGCAGTCTCCCTGCAACGACGTGATCGTTTTGGCGGCGGGAAGCGACGGGAGAGAGCTCAGAGCGGTGTCAGGCGAGGAGGCGGTGTGGTGTAAGGCATGAAGCGTGCGGCCTGTGTGGAGCCGGGAACAGGGTAACTAATCGAAAGCCAACTAATCAATGATGGAAAACGTTTTCCATCATCGATTTTAATTGACTTAGTCAATTAGTTGTTGCAGCTCTACAAATAAGTTTAAAATAACATTTATATGAAGACTGCTTGTGGTACCCGGTGTTGTGCTGTCCTCTGCAAACATCCCGCCCCGTGGGCCTCCAACAAGCATCTGGTGTCCAAGGCTCAGGGATTGTTCACACAGAAAGCGTGTGCGTTCCAGAGCAGTAGCTGCTGGAACGCACCGCGATCGCTAAGAAAACTTCTCCCCGCATTTTGGGGCGGGTGGGGGGCGTGGCAGAGCATTGAATTCAATGGCACCACTTCCACGCCCCCCGCCCACAGTGCAATCGAACGTGTGGCAAAACTTTTCCAGCGTTGTGTTCCACTGCAAACGCAAAGAATAGAGCAAGCCCTATTTTTTGCGTTTGCAGTGGAATCAAGCAGTTGGTGCCCATGGCTGAATAGGGGACCAATGCGGGACCCCAGCGTTGGGCCCCTATGAGCCTTGGGCACCAGTTGCTTGCTGCTGTCCTCTGCCAATGCCCATCTCCCCGGTGGGCCCCCCACCCCAGAGTCTGACACCAAGCTGCTGCTGTTCCCCCAGACGTCTCCTTACCTTTCCATTCCAGTGCAGTCCAGGACCAGCAGCTCAGCTCAGCTCTGCTCCTCTCCCGCCTTGCTCTGTGCTCGCACTGCTCGTACCCCAAGCTCCGCCCCCCAAAAACCTTTCCTGCATATGCAAAGCACAGGAAGGTACCAACTGAACAGGGAGCAGGGGATGACGGCGGCCCTGATTGAAAGTATTCATTTTCCACTAACAACAGTGCTCTACAGAGCTCTGATGGGCATGAAATCCAGGAGCTAGAGGTTTCTTAGAAAAACTTCTGTGCTGCCCTAGTGGGTGAGAGTGTTCCCTCAAAGATGGGAGCGAATGTGCATGTGTGAAATGAAGAGCCACAGGCGCTCAATGGCAAAAAAAACCCGGTTAATGCAACTTGTTTAAAGAAAAAAAATATGTGATTTATAAATCTGACAAGGTCCCTGGTGGGATTGTGGAGCAGCTCAGTCACTGAGTCAGTGGGGCTGGTAGTGGATTAGTCATATAGAACCACTCTGGAAGAGCACCGAGCTATTGTGTCCATTAAGGCAAAGGCTACATCCAGCTCTGCATCCAAAACATGCATTCTCTAGAACTTGTGCCAATGAGTCTCTTTACATGCTTAGCCAGAGGAACTTTTTGTTTAGTTTTGGAAGTAGTAAGAGAGGGTTATAACCCCTATTTGCTTTAGTTTAACATCTTTGTCCCATTAGGAAAATTTCCCTCCACTTCCTGTCCCTCCTTTCAAAGAGAGGGCAATCCCTGGTGGTCAGCAGGATCAAATTAACAAGTTTCCCCATTGGAAGATTTCCCATTTGTTCACATTCTGATGACAACCCAAAATTTGTGATTTTCTTTCAATTTCAGTGATAACAGTCACCAGGACAAATAGAGAGGGCAAATCTCCCTAACGGGAACACAGACAGCAATAAAAATCTGACATGTGTTCTACTCCCTCTACACGCTATCCAAAAGTTAAAAAAAAACAAAAACTTTTAGATTCAGTTTGCACTTTAAGTGTTAATTCGGGGGTTTCCTCTTTATGACAGATATGTGGGTAGAAATGTCAAATGTACAACCGCTGTATATTTCTGCGTCTCCTCCTGATGAAAAGGGCTGAATCTGATGTATACCATTAACTGGAACACAGACGGAGAAGACTGGGTCCGTT